AGCCACACTTAGAGCATTGATAAGAATTTTACACCAAATATTCATTCATTAGTTAGCCAGACCGCGTTTTATGTTCAACTTGAGTCATGATGGTGGGTTAAACAACAGAAACAACCTTAATTAGAAGAATTTCATAGAAATTAGTAAATTTTGGCTTAAAAGAATAATGAATAGTAACCATCCACCCATTTGGTTCTTTTGAAACCTAGAAGTAGAAACTGCTAATCTAGTTTGCTTGGCCTAACAATACTTATGTATCTCCACGTGCTGTCACCCTATAGTTTTACTGCTGTAAATCAGCCGTCGGACTAAATTCTTTACTTTTAGTTGAATCTGTAGTAAAAATTTCAAACCGATAGCTCACGTGACTTTTTGCGTAGGAGTGCGCAAAAAATTTGTTTAAAATTTAGCGATTTTTGTTCAGTAAGTATGCACACGTGGCTTATATATAGACACCTAATTGTAGGTTGTAAAGCTCTATCAGTGTACCGAATTTAACACCTAATTGTAGGTTGTAAAGATCTATCAGTGTACCGAATTTGACACCTAATTGTAGGTTGTAAAGATCTATCAGTGTACCGAATTTGACACCTAATTGTAGGTTGTAAAGATCTATCATTGTACCGAATTTAACACCTAATTGTAGGTTGTAACGATCTATCATTGTACCGAATTTAACACCTAATTGTAGGTTGTAAAGATCTATCAGTGTACCGAATTTAACACCTAATTGTAGGTTGTAACGATCTATCAGTGTACCGAATTTAACACCTAATTGTAGGTTGTAAAGATCTATCAGTTTACCGAATTTAACACCTAATTGTAGGTTGTAAAGATCTATCAGCGTACCGAATTTAACACCTAATTGTAGGAAGAATTTCAATCAAATTTATCTCGTGTATTTCTCCTGTTAATAACACACAGTGTGTCCTGCAGGTTGTCTTGATAAGATATATTTTATAATTTTTACCTTGAGCCTGTAATTTAGACTAAAATTTTGTATGGGCTGAGTTTTTTTCGATGTAACATCCGGAAATATAAAATTCAGGAATATGAGCTTCTTTCAAAAAAATAATTAAATAAAACATCCTAGTAAGCTACAGATATCCTTGCAGAGGCCTGCTTGATAATAACACAGCATTATGTAAGGTAGAGCGATGCTAATTGTTCAAAGTATAAGTTCGTCAAGAAATTAATGTCGCGTTTTGGAACACTTTCATTAACCACCGCCCAAAAAAACGCACATCACGTATAATACTTAAACTAACCGCCTAAACGTCACGTTAGTGTAGTCTATATATAGTTTAATAAACTCGAATCCCTTATAGTGATGGCACACAACGAGACACACATTCGACAAGTAATGCTGTTTGAATACAAGAACGGAAACAACGCCTCTGTAGCCACAAATAATATCAAATAAGTTTATGGAAATGTTTTGAACGTTCCTAAGTGTCAACGATGGTTCAGAAAATTTCGTTCAGGTGACTTTAGCCTTAAAAACTGTAGCAGGGGCCGACATGTTGGAATTGATATTGATGCTCTGAAGACACTTGTTGAGT